ATTGTTCAGCAAAGGTGGGGCGAAAAAGACGCCACATGCCACCGGTTGTGGCAGCCCCACCAAGACAAAAGCAGAGTTAGCGTGGTGGAATAAGTCGAATAACATGAGACTTACTCTTTATGTCGTACAACTCCTTGTTATAGTTCAGTTACTTCCAGGCTATGCGCAATATCTTGTCTATCGACTGACCTACCTTAGTTATGCGATCTGACACTGAATGTATCGAGTTACTTCTAAGAAATGATTGGCCTCAACGAGTCATTTATGAGATTAGGAATTAAAACAAAATGTTACACACACACAAATTATCTGTTTTTCAGTTTTTTCTATTCTGCTATTCTTCGTCCGCCATTTTGAAAACTACCAATGATGTCACATGTTGCATTCCGTTGCTCAGACAACACAGCTGACAGCATTGCGTTCTTTTCAACAAATATCTGTGCCTGAAGTTTTTGTCCTCTCAACTGAGATTTGCGCAAAAAGTGGTTCGATATGAATATATTTTTTGTTTCAGTGTAATAAAAATCAAACTATATGACAATCATTTCTTATGAAAACAACAAAAAATACGATCAGTTTTTCAGTAGTCTGGACCTCTTGATTACTTGTCATCAGTCAACAGTAAATTAAAAAATATTTGAAATACAAAAAAATTCTACAAAATGAATTTTTATGAAAAAAAACTCCCAGTTTGTTATAGGAATTCAATTCAAATAGGCGCCCCTGCTATCAGCCAAAATTTGAAATAAGCGCCCCCTCCCTCGAATAAGCGCCCCCTTCCCTCGATCCCCCCATTTTGTGGACGAGTAAAGAGGCGATTAACAAAGGATGTATAGTTTTCGTTGTGTAGTATTAGATTTGTACCTTGTTTCATTTTGCAAAAAAATTACAAGTAACGGTGCCGCGATTTATGTCGATAAACAGCTTACGTTGTTGATTACGCGCAGATGATGCATTAAAAAAAATGATCATGTCAGGCCACGATTTGGAAAAAGTTAAATAAGCACCCCCCGTCGATTATGCGCCCCCCGTCTTCTCCTAGATTTGAAATAAGCGCCGGCCTGGGCGCTAATTCGCGGATTTTCGTTCGAAATTAACGAGACTAGAACGCTAATTGATGTAAAAATTACTTCCCAATAATGGAAATTAACGCGACAGAGGTGCCAAAATTTCAAACCGAGGGAAATCAACGCGACTTATTAGACAAAGGAACATAATTTTTTAAGAGGAGAAGAAAAACATTAATTCTCAAAAATAAATCGACAACCGTGTTTACATGCTCTCATCTAAACAAACCTATCGACCAATGTGAATGTGCGTACTATCTTAAATATTTTATAAATTGATATGCACTTTTTGCCGAAAAATTCTAACTGTCAAATAGCTGGGATTTGAGATCTGCAAAATTTGTTGATAACCCGAGAGAGAATATGATTTGAACTAAAATTTTAATTGCTAGATGAAAAAGCGCCGAGAGCACCCTTATCCAGACACATAACTGATGCTTCAAAATGTCAGTGTTGATCTAAAATTTTTCAGTCAACATTTCTAACTCTTAATTGGCGACTATTTAGTTTCTTCTTAGTTAGCAGCGACATCTGTTTTCTTCGTCACTCGCTTGTTTCATGTAGAAGGTGTACATGTATAATTAAATTTAAAGATGAGGTTACGGCCGGGGATTACGGCAGCAACTGATCTAATAAAATGACAAACAGCGAGCCCTCTCTCACTACAAGGTCCTCTGCCTTCTTACAAAACTGTTTCCACTAAATATTAACGTTGAGTAAGCAGAGCTAAGGAGTTTGCAGACAGCACTCATAAGAAGTTTCAGTTTAGTGTTCACATCTTCAGTAGTGTTTTGTAAAATATATGAACAATTGCGCGCTATTAGAATTTATAATGAACTTTGAATATGTATTACACGAGATGTTTGGTCTACAAATGTATAAATAGTGTCATAACTTAATTTGTTATCTTCAACACGTTTACGAACGCGTTTCGCTTCGATGTCGAAAACAATTTCTTAAACCAAAACATCATTTGTAATAAATTTTGTCAGAATTGGACATTGAAAGTTCACAGCCATCTTTTTTAAAAACAACTCCTACAACGTCAAGAACCTTGAAAAATGAAGTTTATAGTCGTTGCGATGTTTGTAGCGTTTTATGCGGCGTTAGGCGTGAAGTCAAAGTCCGTTGAGGAGCCCAGCGCAAAACAAACGGGTAACCTTTATAACAGATTCTCAGAGGCTGCCGGCAGGCTTATCTAACCGCGCAAAAACTGAACTATAACCTCGCTATTCCTGATTTTCGTAGCTGAGTGCAAACGTCTTTAGGCAGAGCTCGAGAAGTTCGTCGTGGTTTATGATTTTTCATAGTGGAACACATTTTAATTAGGTTTAATTTTCTATGCAGCACGTTGATGTAAAACATATTTTCGGAAGCTTGGCTTATAATCTGTCGCTGATTAAGAAAATAAATGGCTTTAAATGGCTAATATTTGCCAGTCAGCTTGACTTTGGTGAAGCTCATTTTTCTCTCTTCTTCTTTCAAGGACACAGTTCTCCCATCAACAGTGGCGACAACATCGCTCTACGGTCGGCCTTCACTCGTGGCCCTTACTCTATGAAGTGGCTGAAGTGCACCAGTGCTTCCTGTGTGTGGACTAACTGCCGAAGCAGCAATATTGCGGATCCCACAGGATCGGCATCTTGTACAGAGCGAATGATATTTACTATTGCAGCCAAGGACGGAGGTGTTATTAACAGTGGCGATACCGTGTCACTTAGTCCCATAAAATACGGTCCAGA